AAAAAAAAAAAAAAAAAGGCACATGAGTGCTGTGTTTGGGTTGATAAAGGTTTGTTCCCACAGGAGTGTGAGTTAATAATTCCACTGCTGCTATACATGTATATTTGAATCAATTAAATAAATGGATGGGGGATGGGGGAGCAGGTTTCTCACTGTTGGAGGGGACTTCATAGACAAACAAGAGAGGGGGCCAGAGTGATCCCGGGGGCAATGGATTGAAGCTGGAGACCTCAGCATGAACTCACCCTTACTATGAACAGAGATGATTACATGGCAACATGTTTGAAGACATGGATGTACACACAGATTAGCAGCTGTTTCCTTGCTCTGTTAGCTGAGAGGGCCCAGAAGCAAGGACACCCTAGTAGCAATAAGCACTCCAGGTGCCTAGGTCTTGGCTTCTAACACCATTCTCCAGGAAAACAACCAGGGCTTCTTAGAGAAGTGGACGGTTCTAGATTTGGGCAGGGGATTTACAAGATGAGCCCAGAGCACCTTGCGGGGCCAGGAAGGAAGGAAGGGATTTTTACAAATTCTATTTTTAAGGGAGTATATCACTTAACTGGGACAGGGGAGCTAACTGGGAGAGCTCCCAATGGCCAAAGCTGGATCCATTTAGCAAGACAAGAAAGTAACATTGAATCACAACCCAAAGCATGAAACGAATTCCACAAGTCCATACTGATGTAAATGAATGACTGGAGGAAAAAAAAAGAAGGCAGAAAGGAAGGAAGGCAGGTCGGCTGAATGTCGGAAGAACTGAAGGAAAGAAGGGGGAAGAGACAGATCTCCCATGCAGAATTCCAAGTCATGTCTGTAGATTCTCCACTACCAAGGACACAGACCCTGATGCCCCAGTCCTAAAGTGTGGGGCACACGCAGTGTTTCCTTATAAAGACCCCAGGATGAAAAGCGGGGAGCAAGAGCAGTCTGTGCGTGGAGAAGCCTGAAAACACAACTCTAGCCAGGCGGGCAAGGTCAGCATGGACGGGAAGGCGTGAGGAGGTCTGAGAGGCTGCTGCAGTCACTAGGAGCCTGTGCATTTGGAGGCTGAGTGCAGGGTGGCGTGCTGGGTGGGATCCCGAAAAAGAGAAGGGACATTAGGTGAAAACAAGAACATCCAACCAAAGCATGGACTCCCGTTAACAGCAAGGCATCAGTGTTGCTTCATGAATTGGAATAAGAGTACCCTACTCAAGCCAGAAGTGAATGATGGGGAAACTGGCTGGGTTCAGGGAATTCTGCATACTAGCTTTAGAACGTTTTTGTAAAGGTGAATCTGCCCTCCCCTCCACTTCCCTTCCTTCCTTTCTCTCTCTCTTTCTTTTTCTCTTCTTTCTTTTTTTTTTGACAGAGCCTTACTCTGTTGCCCAGGTTGGAGTGCAGTGGTGTGATTTCAGCTCACTGCAACCTCCACTTCCCAGGTTCGAGCAATTCCCTTGCCTCAGCCTCCCAAGTAGCTGGGACTACAGGTGCATACCACCATGCCTGGCTAATTTTTGTATTTTTAGTAGTGGCGGGGTTTCACTATGCCGGCCAGGCTGGTCTCGAAATCCTGACCTTGTGATCCACCTGCCTTGGCCTCCCAAAGTGCTAGGATTAAAAGCATGAGCCACTGTGTGTGGCCACAGTATTCTTCTTTAGGTTAAAATAACTGTCTTCAGACAAGGATGTTCTCTGCTCTGGTCATTCTGCAGCGCCCCAGAAAGTGATCAGACCAGCTCGATCCGAGAATGAGGACTTTTTAGAAAGTTTCCCTTCGTTGCTTCATGTTTTGATGGTGTCTGGCATGGGCAAATTGGATTTTGATAGTGTAGCCCTGGGGAATCCAATCACGGAATATCCGTGGCTAAGGACACTTCAGGAAGGGAGGCAGTCTTCAAGTCATTAAGTCATTGATTTATTGAAAGTCATGGGTTTTACTTAAAAATATCCCAGGGTTACTATCCTAGGCAGCAGAGGGAGACTCTGTCTCTACAGATAATTTAAAAATTATCCAGGTGTGGTAGCACACCCCTGTGGTCCCAGCAACCCAGGAGGCTGAGGTGGGAGGATTGCCTGAGTCCAGGAGGCTGAGGCTGCAGTGAGCTGTGGTGGGGCCACCACCCTACGGTCTGGGTGACAGAGTGAGAGCCCGTCTCAAAAAAAAAAAAAAAAAAAAAATCCTCGCAGGGTTATGGCGCAGAGGTTGCCTAATAAGCTTGCTAATCAAATAATTCGCCTGAAAGCACAATCACGCTCTAGATGAATGCAGTGTTGAAATACAAAGGGAGGCAGCTTGTGCCTGTGGTCCCAGCTACTTTGCAGGTTGAAGTGGGAGCGTGGCTTGAGCTCAGGGCTTTGAGGCAGCGTGAGCTGTGATCATGCAGTGAGAATGCAGCTCTTAAAATAAATAAATAATAACAAAATAAATGCAAAGAGAATCAAAGATGAACTCCTCCCCACCTCTTTACAACATGTAGCAAAGCCACTTATGTTTGGTCAATAAATTAATGAAATCTATGTTTTTGTCTGAATATACATTCTCTTAGTTTATCTGTTTATTTCCTTTTTTAAAAAAATATCTTCCTCCCAACACCCATATTCTTTCCTGACATTCTGCCCTTGGCCATGACCTCCTTTACCTAGATCTCTTCCCTAGAGCAGCTCACACCCTTCCGCACCCGGCTGAGATCTCTTCTCCAGGTGGCTTCCCCTGACTCCCATTTGGGTTGACGCATGTTGATGAAAAGCCACACAAGGACTGCCCATCGCAGGCTCCATAAGCACTGATCAGACTCCTTGTAATCACTCCATTTCCCTCTGTATCCAGGAATTACCAAGTAGAAGAGCTTCAGCTCTCAGACTGGTTTCAACCCAGGTAAGAACAAAAATGTCTTTTTACATGCACACACAAACAGCGTATCTCGGTTTGAAGAAACAGGTTTTTCTTCCCCAGTCACCAAATTGAGCTCTCCTGGGAGGTTTCCAGAATCGGGGTTTCATTCTGGAGGCTCTTATAAACAAACCAGGGTCTGCTGAGACCCAGGCAATCACGGAGGTGATGAAGAAGGGGATGCACTCAGCCTGCCTCGGCTTTCCTGGTTTAGGGAGTGAAAGAGTCTCTTGGGAAACAGCTTGAAAATGCTGCGGATGACGCTGCTCGCCTTTGGTGTCAGCACGCAGGGGCAGCCTCGACCTTTGTAAAGTGTGTAGTGTTCAACGCTGTGTTGCGTTCCTTACTTTATTGAATCCATTCCCTACGGGTTTGGGGTTATTTACCGTTTGGGGGCTATTGTAGGCAAAGCTCTGGTGACTAAGTGTAACCTTTTTTGTTTTTTTCTTACACAGATGTGTGACTTCCTGTGTGAGATCAATTTCTCAAATGAAGTTATCAGGCCAGATAATGCAGACATTTCAAATTTTTGATACAAATTTAAAATTGCTAAATTTCCTTTTAATCATGGCACGATTTTCTCCTCTTGTCTACAGCACGTAAACTAAAGTATTGCCAGTTTTTTTATGTTTGGCAAAGCTGCTAGTTAAACCATCTCAGTTCAATTTCTGTAATTGCATTGTTTGAGGTTTTTTTGTTTTTGTTTTTCTTTTTGTAGAGACAGGAAAAGGGGAGAGAGAGAGAGAAAGCAGAGAAGGAGGGAGACATAAAGGCACCGTGTAAGGGAGGCGGTCTCCTGCCTCCCTGGCCTCAGCAAATGATTGGAGAGTGTTCTGATTTCGGGCTGCCTAATTTTGAGCTGCAGTCAGCACTCAGAAAAGGCAGTTCCTGGGCTCAAAGGCAGGTGACTGGGGAGGAACACACAAGCCCAGGAGCCAGGTTGGCTGGGCGTGGCATTCCAGTCCCCATGTGTTAACTGTGTGGTGTCAGGCAACTTACTCAACCATTGTGCCTCTGGTTCCCCACGTGGAGATCAGGTGTGGCGGGGATCAGGGGTGGCGGGGGTCAGGGGTGGCGGGGACCCGGGGTGGTGGGGACCCGGGGTGGTGGGGACCCGGGGTGGTGGTGCTCACTGCATAGGGTGTTGCAAAGATAAATGGGATAACACCCTCAAACATGGCACCGGGTGCACCGTCCGGGCTCTCTGAGTGTTAGCCATTACGCCCGCACCTGCTGCTGCCGCCTGAGTAAAGCAGTCCTTGTTTAACCTGGCTCTTGTTCCACAGAAAACGCCCCGATGTCATCACGAAAACGGACTGGCTCGCTCCCGTCCTTTGGGAGGGGACTTTTGACAGGCGGGTTCTGGAAAAACATTACAGACGGCGGAATATCACCGTGGGCCTGGCCGTGTTTGCTACTGGCAGGTAGGTGCCACTCACCTGTGGCCTTTTTTATTTTGGGAAAAGGTGGATCCGCATTCATGGACTTTTGACCTCCAGAGATAATCAAGCATAATTAACGATAACAATAGCCATGATTTTTGTCAGAAAAACTTACCTGTCCAAGCGCAAAGAATGGACTCAGAGACCCAGAGAACAGCGAAAGGGAGATTTTAATGACGGTCCTGGAAGATCGGGTGTCTGTCGAGCAGGCACGCCCAGCACAGGTTCAAGAAGCAGTTTATCCCGTAGTGCGGGGGTCCCTCCCCGGTTCCTCACAGGCTGGGTATTACGGGGTCACAGTCTTCCCGGACATCTCCTGTTGGGTGTTGGGCGGGGGCCCCAGGTGTTGTTTTTGGGTTGTCCTGCTGCGTTTTGTCGCGGCCCACGATGTGCTGCAATCCCAGTCAGCTCGGGGGCCCTTCAGGTGTTTGACTTATGACCGCAGTGGCTGGGCAGGCCGATAAGAACAGGCAAAGCGAGCTACGTTGCAGGCTAGTAAACTTTCATCTTAGGCTAAACGTTTCAGATGAAGACAACGAAGGTGGAAGGCGGGAGGGGGAAGGCCAACAAGCGGCCTTGGCTGTTGAATCGGGGGCCTAGTATATCCTGCTGCTTTTGTCATTTGCTGAACTAAGCCGATTTAAGGCCCTCTGTCTTGGAAATGGACCGCTGTATACCTAATTTCCTTCCATTTCAGGCTGTCCTGTGCAAAGGTGTGCTGGGCTTCCCTGTTGATGGCTGAGTCCTTGACACCCGTGGGAATCTTTTGATTCACACCCATTTAGCTCTTGCTCCCTTTCTTCACAGCAGTCATTCCAAAACGGTGGCTTTTCTCAGGCCCTTCGTGTCAGGACATTCCTTCCCACTCACAGACTCAGCTGAAGCTGTTGGTGCAGCTCCCGCACCCTTACACGTCCCGAGTTCCTTAGCATCAGAAACGCCCACGTTAGACAGCGCATTCAGCCGTCTCTCCTGATCATGTTTAGAAAAGTAAGTGTCGGCTGTGCACAGTGGCTCACACCTGTAATCCCAGCACTCTGGGAAGCCGAAGTGGGTGGATCACCTGAGGTCAGGAGTTCGAGACCAGCCTGGCCAACATGGCAAAACCCCCCGTCTCTGGTAAAAATATGGAAAAAAAAAAAAATTGGCTGGGCGTGGTGGCGGGTGCCTGTAATCCCAGCTACTCAGGAGGCTGAGGCAGGAGAATCACTTGAACCCGGGAGGTGGAGGTTACAGTGAGCCGAGATTGCACCACTGCACTCCAGCCAGCACATCAGAGCAAGACTCCATCTGAAAAACAAAGAAAGAAGGAAAGAAAAGAAAAGTAAGTGTCTCCCCTGGTGTCTGTGTGTTTCCTAGGTTTGCAGAGGAGAACCTGAGGCCATTCTTACACTCCGCAAATAAGCACTTCATGACAGGCTACCGAGTGATCTTCTACGTCATGGCGGACGCCTCCTTCCCGCTGCCCCACATACAGCCCAGTCCTCTTCGAACATTCAAAGTGTTTAAAGTGGACACTGGGAGTGGGTGGCCCGACGGCCCCCTGGAGCCCATGAAGAGCCTGAGTGAACACATCATCAGTCACATCCAGCACGAGGTGGACTTTCTCTTCAGCATGGCTGCCAACCAGGTCTTCCAGAGCGAGTTCGGGGTGGAGACCCTGGGCCCGACGGTGGCCCAGCTCCACGCATGGTGGTATTTCAGGAACACCAAGAACTTCCCTTACGAGAGGAGGCCGGCCTCAGCTGCTTGCGTCCCGTTTGGACAGGGGGATTTCTATTACGGCAGCTTGATGGTTGGTGGCACGCCCCGTAATATTTTAGATTTCATCGAAAATTATCTGAATGGAGTTATCCATGACATCAAAAATGGACTCCATAGCACCTATGAAAAGCACCTCAACAAGTATTTTTACCTAAATAAACCCTCCAAGCTGTTATCACCAGAATACAGCTGGGATCTTGCATTTTCTCCCCCTCCACAGGTCCGGTATGTCAAAGTGGGACATATTTCCCACAGGAAATTGTGATTACACCGTTAGGCTTATGACGAATAAACGAATCGCAGCAATTTCTTATAAATGTGGGACTTCTTAAAGCCTTGCATTTTTTAGAGACGTAAACATTTACATCCTTCCAAAATAAGTGTTTCCTCTTGCCATTTTGAGCCATCTTATTTGGCTAATATAGAATAAAGAATAAAAGGTTCATTACTTAATGTTAATACACAGTAATATTATTATCTATGTGTTGTAGATAATTCGGAAATACTTTTGACAAAGAACAAATTTTTTTTCTAGTTCAGAAAAAATATTCACAAAATGGAAAAGTTGTACATACAAAGGACAAAAAATAAGTTCCAGGCCACTCATTAAGTATTCATAGTGTTTTTCCACACTGGGATACACGTGGCTTGTGGTCAACCCCTCCTGTTGTCTCAGTCTGTCCAGTGCATGAGTCATCACAGGTGAGCTAGAGGAATCTGGTCAAAGCCATGTCTTACTTTCATGATTTCAAAGCAAGATATTCAATTTGTTCTGTTAAAAAGCTGTAGGTATTTTATTTTTTAAAAAAGATATTTATTGAGCTCCGTGGTAAAGGCGTTCTGCCAGATGCAGACAGGGATAGAAAGGAGTTTGGAACACCTGTGCTGTGGCCCTGGCAGCCTGCAGCCTGGCAGGGGTTGAGGCCGCACATTCAGAATGCTAAAGCTGACAAGGAAGATGCTCACCTGAGCTCTGTGGTGGGCAGGGAGCCAGCACCTCCACGAAACGCTTTGTGTGGCCACAGAGGGGAGTGCTCCTAACTCCGCGAGCAGCCGCAGCTGTGAACAGCTTTGGCAAGTGTTATGGTGGGACTCACATCCCACCCCATGACTATGCTGAAGTGTTGGGGTTCACTCGGGGAGACTGGTAAAATATTAGGGAAATATCAGGGGAAGTTAGAAGATTATTGTCTCAAACCTTTTGGAAGGCTGAAAGGTTTGAATGGAATGGGCTGAAGGCAGCTGGTTCATGACGTTAGAACTTTAAGTCGTAGGGTAAAAGATTAGGGACAAGGAAAGCTTCCCCAGTGAAGTCTGTTTACCCCGCATTCCTCTGTCTCTGCTCTAATTTGTTTGCTCATGTAAACTTTGTGCTGGACGGTCCTCTCGGGGGAGGTCAAAGGGGAATCACCCGTGAATGGTGTTTACTCTGGGTCCTGGTACCTAAAGCTTTTGTCATTTGTAAGACGACTCTTGTAACTGTGTTAAATATGCACAAGCATGTTGACTTAGAAACCTCTGTTAGTAAATCTATCCTGAGTAAATGTGAGGCGTTACAGGGACTTATGGTTGGTCGGCTGCACTTGCCCTCTGAAAGCAGCTGACAACCATCCCTAGCCCACTCAGATTAGGGCGTGTGAGTGCATTCATTCGTCCATCATCAAGTCAGAGTCTGCAGGACCCAGACCTCCACAGGTGGAGACCCCAACGTCATCGAGGTCTCACTGAACTCCGCACCTCAGAATGAGACTGTGTCTGAAGACAGGGCTGTTAAAGAGGCCATTAAGGTAAAATGAGGCATTAAGGTGGCCCTAATCCCACAGGACTGGCTGGCGTCCTTATAAGAAGAGGTGAGGACACAGACACACAGAGGGGCGACCGTGAGGACGCAGGGAGAAGAGGCGTCTGCAAGCTGAGGGTTGAGGCCTCGGGAGGAGCCAGCCCTGCAGCACCTTGATCTTGAACTTCCAGCCTCCGGCACTCTGAGGATGCACATTGCTGTTGCTGAGGCTGCCCAGACCAGCCCATCATATTCTGTTAATGGCGGCCTGAGCAAACGGATCCAGCAGGTGTCCCCAAAATAACGGCAGCTCGAACACTCAGTTGCAAGGAGTGCGGTCTACCGCTTCCTGGGATGGAAGACTGTGGGAAGTAGAAAAGTTCCTCTTTAAAGTGTCCTTGCTTGTTAAAGAATAAATCATAAGTGTGCTAATAACTCTTTGTGAAGCCCTATCCTGTAGCTGTGAGACAGGCCGTGCTTACAGGCACGTAGTACATTCTGCGTCCTTGTGCTTTAACCAAGATACCTGTGCTGGACGTGCTCACAGGCGTGTCCCAGCTCTCCATGGCTTTTACCTGTTTAGAAAAGTTTTAAGTTGTTAGCCAATTGGGTTTTAGTTTAGATTGTGAGGTCTGGCTCCAGCCAACGGAGATCAGACACAGCAGTGAGGACGACCCCACATGCATCAGGGATAAACAAGTCTGTTTTCCTTTGTTCACTGTACTCTCTGGCAAGATGGCTATTGAGGGTGCCCCTCCTGCAGTCCAGGAAGTAAAAGTTGCATTGCTGAAAGACCCTTTGTCTCAGTGCTGATTTTTCTTTGCAGCACAGAGCAAATGTTTCCAGCAAAGGCGGAGGCTGAGAAAAGCCTCCCTGAGTTCAGAGTTAGACCTGGCGCTACCACCCCAGGGTCCCTCTGCTATATCACCCAATCTCCCTCATGCCCAGTTCATGACAGGGACCGTCTTAAAGAACCGGTCTGTCAGGGTTTAGCTAACTCTTTTTTGCTGTCGTCTCCTTTGACTAAAAGAAGGTGATCTTTTCAGTGACTCATTTATTCTTGCATCTCACAGAGTAGCTCTCAATTTTTAAAAAAATTCTATGAAAGTTTCAAAAGAGTGAAAATAGATATTACATTAGCCACAAAACCTATATATGGAGCATTTGTAATTACTTTGGCCAGATCTGGAAAGGGTGGGGTGTACTGAACCAAATGAAACTTTTTTTTTTCTTGCCAATTTACAGATAAGTTTAGAAGACCAACCGAGAAGGCTTCTGACATTTTATCTTTAAAAATTATGAAATCAACCAGGTGCAGTGGCTCATGTCTGTAACCCCAGCACTTTGGGAGGCCGAGGTGGGCAGATCACCTGAGGTCAGGAGTTCAAGACCAGCCTGCCCAACATGGTGAAACCCAGTCTCTACTAAAAATACAAAAAATTAGCTGGACGTGGTGGCTGAGGCAGGAGAATCGCTTGGACCTGGGAGGTAGAGGTTGCAGTGAGCTGAGATCATGCCACTGCACTCCAGCCTGGGCAACAAGAGCGAAAACTCCATCTCCCCCAAAAAAATTATGGAATCAATATTAAAGTGTCGTAAATTTCTTGATTTTCATGGCAGAACAACAGGTAAGCTTGTTAATGTTTAGAATTTCCAGGTCTGGGACAAGCCTGCTTAGAAGACTTAGAAACTAGGTCACCCAGAAAAGCCAACGTCTGTCCCCACCAGCCAGTGTGTGCCTCCCTCACAGAGGGTGCTAAATAGATTTCTAAAAGAAGTTTAATTTTGCCAATTTGATGAGAAAAACTAAATAGTGTCTCTTTTTTTTTATTTGATTACTTATGAAGTCAAGGCTTCTTTTCCCATCAGCCTTTTGATCTGTGCTAATAGCCTTTTTCCATCTTCTGCTCAGTGTTTTTTTTTTTAGAGACAGGATCTCACTCTGTTGCCCAAGCTGGAGTGCAGTGGTGTGACTGTGGCTCACTGTCGCCTCAAACTCCTGGGCTCAAGCCGTAGTCTGGCCTCGGTCTTCCACAGTGATACAGTGATGGGATTGCAGGCTTGAGCCACCACGCCGGCCCTTCAAGGAGTTTTGATTGATATATGCATTTACATAGGCGATATGAACCCTTCGTCACATTTGCTGCAGATGTTAATTTCATATTGTTGTTTCTATGTTAATTGTGTTGATGTCTTTGATGTGCCCAAGTTTAAAGCTCTCATGGCTGCCACCCCTTCCCCTGGTGTTTACACCGGCTGCGTAGGTAAGCCATCCCCGAGTCGTAGAAAGCATAGAAGTTTCCAGGCTTGGCTGGGCGTGGCGGCTCACGCCTGTAATCCAAGCACTTTGGAGGCCAAGGCGGGAGGATCACCTGAGTTTGGTAGTTCAAGAACAGCCTGACCAACATGGTGAAACCCTGGCTTAAAAAAAAAAAAAAAGAAGTTTCCAGGCTTCCTTTTATTCAGAGTTGATCAGGGACTAATTGTAAGACAATGTGTAGGGTGAGAGATCTACTCTGATTTCCCCCCATCTGTCTTGCCCATTTCCCTCAACGCTATTTATTGAATAAATAATGCTTTTTAGGACAGGCCCTTTGTACCGTCTATGAAGCTGTCATACATAACCATGTTCGTTTCTTGACACCAGTCTCATGGCTGTTCTTCTGCCTTGAGCTAATATGCCACATGCTTCTCACTGCTGTCATTCTACATGGTGGGGGGGGGGGGTGTGTGGGACATCCATCTGCACGACTCTGCCTTTAAAATTGTTCCCAAACTTTTATTCCTTCATGTGAATTGTTGATTCAGGTCTGCAGTTTAGGGGACAATCCCACTGGAAGATTAACTGAATGGCTGAAGTGCACAGGTGAGCTTGAGGTTATTAACTCTACAATGCTGAGAGATACCCAGAGCTCTCACGTCGATATTTATTCCGGTCACTTTAATGCCCCAGAAAAGGTGATTTTTTATGATCTTACAGATTCCGTAAGCCCCTTGTTAGACGTGCGTCGTGTGCTTTGCGATGGTCATTTTTCCTTCCGTTTTTCCAGCCGGGCTTGCTGGTGTGCAGGAGGACCTCGGAGCTTCGCCATCAGCTCCGGCACCAGCTCCGGGTTTCATTCCATTGTGGGGAGAAGGAAGGGGGAGAAGGCCTTGCTGGAGGTGTTTTCTGGGACGGCTGCTGGCCATACCTGTCTTGGGAGTTTCAGACGACAAGTATCGTGTCCTGGACCCAATTTCCTCAGAGCCTGCCCTGCCCATGGGCGGCCCTGGCTCTCCAGGAGCAGAAGCGGGTGCCGCCCTTTGGAATCCTGGGCTCCGAGGAGCGGGCGTGGGCTGGTCTCACCTGCCGCGCAGGTACACCTGTCTGTGTTTGCCCGTCGGGCTCCTATGGGGAGTAGGGTCTGGAGCTGGGCTCACTCAGGGCGCTCGGACCTTGGTGGGGACACAGGCATTTGCTCACGGAGCAGGGAGACCACCTTGCTAGAGGGCCCCCAGCAGACGCAGGTGGGGTGGGTCACAGTGGAGGGGAGCTGGAGTCTGAGAACAGCCTCTGTGGGGTCATGTTGCTGAAGGACACTTGAGGGTGACCCCAGCAGTCCTTGGGGGGTGCACCGGAGGTGCCTGGGACCCCAGGGCTCCACTCATTGTGGATGTTTTGGAGGCATCTGGGTGCTGTGGGCAGGAGTTCAGAGGCCATGCGCCCCCTCCTCGCCACCCTTAGTGCGCTCCAAGCCCACAGGCCAGGCTGGGGCATGCTGCTGGCCCTTGGCTGTTGGTTGGCAGGTGGTTGGTAGGACCTGGAGACCCACAGAGGGAAGAGGACTTCCCAGCAGGGGAGAGGCAGGGTTGGGCTCCAGGCTGGGGAGCTTCCTTGGGTCCCTGAGGTGCAAAAGGGCTTCCTGGGGGCACCTGGGCAGTCCAGGCCACAAGCCAAGGTGAAGGAGGGGTGGAGGGCAGGCTGAGGGTAACAGAGGGATAAGGGGCCCAGGCAGGAAGACTCTGGAGCCACCTGACCTAGGCTCTGGGTGGGGCACAGGGGCCTGTGGAGCAGAAGAGGAAAAAGGTGGTGATTCTGAGGACTTCACTCATTCATTTTGAAATCAATCAATTAATCACATAGCACAAAACAGCTGTCCCTGACTGGCGTCACCTGGCCTTCTCTTTCCCCATGTTGTCAGTCCTGCCAGGGCCCTGTGCTCTGTGGAAATCCAGTCTCCTCGGGGGACCACAAGGCCCCACACCACTGCCCCAATCGCCTGGGAGCTCATCTCTGCCCTCCTCTGCCCGGCTCCTATTCCAGCTGCATGACCCCTCTTCCAGGCAGCCTTCCTCCTCCATCTCATCTCAGGGACGCCCATCCTGGCTGCCGTGCTCACACAGCCTGGCCACCTCCCCAAACCCTGCCCAAGTCCCCACTCCCACGCCCCTAGCCCTTGTCTCTAACAAATCAGGTAATTACAGTGCTAGCTGGTTAATGACTATGTCTTGTTCTAAGTGAATCCCAGACTCCCAGAACAGGCCCGGCCCATATGTTTGTTGACTGACTGAACGGTGCACTGGGAGGCCGCAGAGGGGAGAGGCTGGCTGGGTGCTTGGTTCAGGAGGCAGGAGATCTGGATGCCTTCCAGCTTCTCCTGGCTGTGCAACTTGGCCTTGCTACTGAACGTCTCTGAGCCACATCTGTAGAGTGGAGATGACCCTGGGCCCATGTCATTGTGTCACACGGGGCTGGTGAGCTCCAGTAGCTCCTCAGCAGCCAGCACAGGCCTGGCCATTAGGGGCGTGGGGGTTGACTTCACCCTCCGTGGTGCCGGCTGGGTAGATGAGGCTCCAGACCCAGGTGCCCTCCTCCCGTCCCGCTGCAGGACGTGGCTGGGGCAGCGCTCACCATCTGTGTTGAAGGCCGGGGCTCTCTGCAGCTGGAATTTCTCCACAAACTCCAGGTATCTCCGCAGCCATGTGGGGTCCTCCACCACTCTTCTCGCTGGAATCAGACGGGCTGACAGTGAGCGGCTGAGGCCTGGAGCCCCTGTCTTTCCTGCCCTCCTCCTCTGTGGAGAACAGGGAGGCAGAGGCCCTGGGCGTCGGCCACCCCACCACTGAGTCACCGTGACACTGGCAGGGGGCTCGCTGGACACCTCCCCTGCGGTCTCCCAGGCCCGGCCAGCTCTGACTGCAGCGGCCCCAATCTTGCCTCCTGTAAACACACCGTCTGTTCTGAGCACAGCAGGCAAAGTGCCCCTGGAAGGAGGGAGTCAGGCCTGGCCCACCTCAGTGGAGACCCCCAGAGGGTCCTGAGTTGTGGCCTGGTGCTGCCCCTCCCACCTCCCTGACCTTCTCAGCCCTGGGGCCTCTCAGCTGCTGCTGCCCACTCCCCCACCCCATCCTGGGCTCGGGTTCCAGCTGATAGTCTGCCCCGAAATGCCCCCAGTCCCTCGTCCTCAGGACAGTGCCGCCCTCGATGTCCCCCACTCCGTCCCCTGTGCCTCCCAGCCCTTCTCCCACGGCGCTTTGACTTTCAGGAGCCGCACAGCACCCCGAAACATTGCTTGAGGAGGAGAAGGACAAGGAAGGCTTGTTCTCAGTTTCACCCACTGACGATTCAAGCTCCCAGAGCAGTGCCTGGCTCGGAGCAGACGCGCCGTGCTCGTCCTGCATGGGGACGCTCTCCTCGAGGGAGGGGCGTGTGTCGGAGGAAGTGCTCAGCTCCGCCCAAGGCTGCCTGCACCCTCGGAACACCCTTCATGGAAGACCCCTCCCAGACAGGACAGCAAGTCTCCAAGAAGACTTGAGAGTGTCTGGCAGCCCCTCCCTCCTGTCGGGGGACCCGAGCACCGCACTGGCCAGCGCCAGGGAGAGCCAACCACCTACCCAGCAGCACCCACAGGCTGGTGACCTCGTCATCCTCAAAGCGCACGTAAAGGATGAGGTTGCTGTAGTCGGTGCTGACGAAGCGGACGTGCATGCTGCTCCCCTCAACTGCGGAGACCCGGGGCCGGGTGATGCGTGATGCCCCTCTCCTCCTTCCCCCAGGTCCCGGACCCCCCATGCCCTGAGGACAGTGCACTGCCACCAAGAGGACGCACGGCCTTCTTCCAGCACCTGGCCGTCCCCCAAAGCCAGCAGCCACTCCTGAGTGTCGTGGCCAGGACCAGGCGTCCCAGTGTCCCTTGCTCGCCCCTCCCCGCTCAGAGCCCAGCCCGGATCCTGGACAGGGGCACTCACAGGAGCCTTGGTACTGGCCTTGCAGCTGGGTGGGATGGACAGTGATGCTTTTTTCTTGACACACCCCTTCTCCCCTGGGAGAAGAGAAGGGAACCAGGGCCTGGTCAGCCCCCAGCTGCGTCCTGTTGACCTGTCCCAGGACGGGGTAACCTCTCAGGGCTTTCCACCAGGGGACACTGGGGCTGCCACCAGCTGAGAGCCCTGCTGTCCTCCCCAGGGCATCAGCTCCCCAGGCTCAGGGGCAGCCTTGTACTGGCACAGGCACCAGGGTCGTGCGGCCAGGAGGAGGCGACACCCGTGGTGCTGGGATGGGGCAGGAGTGAGGAAGCGGGAGCGTCCCCATATCTGGGATGACGTCAAACTTACCAGAATGGACTGGTCCCAGTCTGGCCTTTGCTCTGAGCTCCAGGCCTTGGGGGCTAGGACCCTGACTGTCCTGCCCATCCCTACTTGCTCTGCTCTGTGCATAAACAGAGCCCCCTCACCCCCACGCCCGTGGCTCCAGGGGGTTCAGTTTCTCATTTGGGGTGGGTGCCCAGTAACCCCTGGGACTCTGCAGGCTGCCACGAGGTGTGTCTGGACCCAGCATGACAGACCCTGCCACGACCCTGAAGGCGGTTAGGTTGTGGCTGTAACCACCTTCAGGGCTGTGGGTGCAGGTGGAATCACACAGGCTTGTTGTGGGCGTCACTGGCTCAGCGCAGCTTGTCCCAGGGTGGGTTTTCTTGTGCTGACAGGGCAGCTGTCCTCAGGATTCCCGGCTTACATGGGGGTGAAAGGGGCGTGGGCAGGGGTGGCTGTGGTCCTTGGAGAGGGTTATTGGGAATTAGTAGGCAACTTTCAAACACCGGAGATCACACATTGAAAATGCCAGCCTCGGGCTTCCTTCACAGCTGGACCATAGGCCCGTGGCCCAGTGGGCACGTCTGCTGGGACTGGACGTGGCCTCCGGGGCCGGGTTGTGTGTTTCCTGCACCTGCCTCTGGCAGCTTCCAAGCTCACCCTCTCAGAGCAGGGTCTTGGGCCTCAGCTTGGTGTGATGTGTCCTTCTGGCTCTGAACACTGTTACTGTTCCTTGGGTCTGAGAATAAGTGCCTGAGGGGGTGGCAGAAGCCATGCTTACTTCCAGAACAGCACGAAGTCCACGTCCCCACTGTCACTGGTCTGGATGGAGTGCAGGGCGAGCCTCAGGGGGTCGGCTGGGGAGACCAGTTCTGCGCGGCTGGCTGCCAGCTGCAGGGTGAACCAGCGCCCCTCCACCTGCAGGGGTGAGAGCCGGGGTGGGAGAGGCCAGCTAGTGCTCAGCTGTGTGGCACCCCTTCCACCTTCAGGGGTGTGGGCTGGGGGCGGGAGGTCAGCTAGTGCCCGGCTCTGTGGCACCAGGAGGCCCCCCTCTGGGCTCTGAGGCCAGCTAGTGCCTGGCTGTGTGGCACCAGGAGGCCCCCTCTGGGCTCTGAGGTCAGCTAGTGCCTGGCTGTGTGGCACCCCCTCCACCTACAGGGACATCGGCTGGGGCAGGGAAGGTCAGCGAGTGCCTGTCTGTGTGGCACCCCTTCCACCTGCAGGGGTGAGGGCTGGGTGGGAGAGAGGCCGGCTAGTGCCCGGCTGTGTGGCACCCCCTCCACCTGCAGGGGCATGGGCTGGGGCAGGGAAGGTGAGCGAGTTCCTGGCTGTGTGGCACCGGCAGGCCCCAGCTTTGGCACTAAGCATTGGTCAGCGGGTAGCCCTGCCCCTCCTGGGGGCTGTGCTGGCAAATGTTTCCCCTTCCCAGTCTGTATTGGCGAATGCCCATCCGTGGGTCCTCGTGGAGGCTGAGCTGTGCTTCCTCCTGGGAAGAGTCACCTCCAGCCCCCCTCTCTCTGGTCTCTGCCTAATCCCCTTGCCACTTCCGTCAGCCCTGCACCCCTACCCCGGCCTGGTCCAAGCTCTGTTCCCCTGGTCAGGGAGGGGGAGGAGAGGGTCTGGTGCGGTACCAGGTGTCCCTCTGTCCCTGAACTCCCCCCAGCGGCACCAGGACCCCAGGGGCTGCATGGGGAGGAGGAGCTGGGACCCTCCCTGCGCCCAGGGCTGGCTTCCTTGTGTCCCCCAGGGCGAGCCCCTCTCCTGCTCCCCAGGACCCCACTGCCTGCCTGTGCCCAGCAACTGAGCACTCTGTTCCTCCAGCCTCCACCCTGCAGCCTTCTCCCGAAACTGCTGTTGAGCCCCGGCTTCCACAGCCCGGAGAGAGCGATGGGCCCGAGGTTCGTCAGTGGCCAATGGCGCCGGCTGTGCAGGACGACAGAGCCGTCTCCCGCCTGGGGTGGCCCCAGGCCCAGGTGCAGCTCACCCTCCAGAGTGCCTGCAGGGTCAGGCAGGGACCTAACCCCCCACCCCCTGTACCTCCTCAATGTGACACCCGTGTCCACCCAAGCTCTTGTTCCAGGCCTAAGCCTGGGGGCTGGACCCATGACACTTACCTTGTGAGCATCAAAGCCCCACTGTACCGGCACTTCTTCCGGAGCCTTCTGGGCACCTGCCAGGTCCAGGCCGAGGGCCAGCAGCAGGAGCAGCGCGGTCTCCAGAGCCATGACTCGGGGGAAGCGGGAGCACCTGAAGCCAGCTCCCTCCTCTGTGCTGCCGGGGCCCACCCCACCGTCCCACCTGCCACCTAAGAGTTCCGCAATCCTACCCCAGGAATGATGCCGCCTCCCTGCCGCCTCCCTGTCACCTGGTGTCTAAAGTGATGCAAAGATGTGGTTTGGGCCGGGCGTGGGGTGGCTGTCGGGGCGGTTTAACCAGAGTCTGGGATGAGGCCTATGGCTGGAGGCTGAGGGGAGGGCAGAGGAGGATGTGGGCTCCCTCGGCTGCAGCCCCTCCTCCCCAGGGCCCCCAGCCCCTCCTCCCCAGGTCGCAGCCCCTCCTCCCCAGGGCCCCCAGTCCCTCCTCCCCAGGTCGCAGCCCCTCCTCCCCAGGCCCCAGTCCCCAGCGTGTTTGCCCATCGGCTGCTGGAGCCACAATTGCAGGAGGCTTTGCACCCCCTTCACCGTTGCTCGCGGTGGGCCCTGCCCGGGTGTGGGGACGGCGGAGGGGTGCCGCAGACCAGCCATGGGAGGGCACTCGGCACAGCCGGGCACCGAGCCCTCTTGAGGTGTCTGCTCCGTGTTCCTGCTTCCTGCAAACGTCTCCCTCCTGCCCCCTCTCTTCACCCTGGAGCTGCTCCGGGCCAGGCCATGAGCCTCCCTCCCACCCCATCCTCCTGCCCTCACATGTCCAGAGGCCAGCGTGGGCATGCCGTGGAGCACACAGCCTGCTCGGCCATCCTGGGTCCTCCTTTGCATCTGGATTGAGTGCAGACCTCCAGGCCACAAAGACCCTGTGTTCTGGTCCCTTCCCCCTCCCTCTCCCGCTGCTGCAGCCGCTCAGATGCCTGCCAGCCTCTGTAACCACCCCACCTCCCCACCTTCCTCCTGCTTGGGGCTGCCTGGGGCTAAGGAGCGGCTGCCTGGCCCCTGCAGGTCCCGGCTTTCAGGGAGTCTGAGGTCTGGTGTGGGGACTACAGCTGGTCTCAGGGTGACCACTGGCTTGGCCTCTACTTTCTTAGGTGGACACTGGGGGCTACTCAGGGCGGGCGCTGCAGGGGTAGCTCTAGGAGTGACGCCCCTGCACCATGGGATGTGGGCAGTCCCAAGTTCAACACAAGGAGCTTCTCTTTACTCTCCAAAGATGGAGAGGGGGCAGGGATGACTCGGTCTGTGCAGGCGCTCTGAGGACGGAGTCAGGTAATAAAGGAAAACGCTCAAACGCTCAGTCCAGTGCACGCTCCCCGCCCCCTAGGCCCACCCCCGCCCCCCCGACTTCACTGTGAAGTCAGGTCTCGGCCAAAGGTCCTGGCTGAGGGGCTGGTGAGGTTTGTGGGAAACGCACCCAGCCTGTCGGGGAGGCTCCAAAACCCTGGCTGGTGGGGCTGGGCCTGATACGCAGGGTGTTTCTGGAGGCTTCCATCAGCAGGCCGGGGAGGGGCAGCTCTCTCCAGTCAGCCTTGGTAATGGCCAGGCTACAGGATGAGGTCCCATTCTCTGCGCCTGGCCACAGGCACTGGAACTCCGGTGGGCCTGGGGGAACTTGGCCCCCGCCACGTCTTGGAAGACAGAGCAGCTGCCGCCTGTGGCTGACTCAGTCTGGCTCCCACACACTCTCCAGCGCTGAGCTGGCCGTGCCTGAGTCGAGGGGCCGGGGGCCGATACAGCATCCGGCATCCTGCCCACATCGCACTGGCTTAGCTCCACAAGCAGGTTCCGGAAGGTGCTAGGGCTGGGCAGGGTCAGCGCAGGGCGGAGGCTCTGGCCACCATCCCTCCTCCTTCTGGGTGCAGAGGCTCCGGCCACCATCCCTCCTCCTTCTGGGTGCAGGAGCCAGTCCACAGCAGCCACACTCAACCTCAAGTCTGCCATTCGGCTGGGCCTCAGGGGGTCCTCGCGCTCCGTCTGGACCTTCCGGGGCCCAGCTGCTGCCCTGGGCCTGTGACGTCTGCCTCTGGGCACCTTCCCTACTTCCCAGCCTCCCTGGTGGCCGGGTGCTAGCCTGAGGTTCTGAGGACGGGGACAGACTCTACTCTCACCAAGCTCTCTCCAAGGGAAGGACCCCTCCCCTGAGCCGAGGAGCCCTGCTGGCTGGCTGGGCACAGGCGAGAAGCCACTGAAGAGCAGGCACAGGGCTGGCACACTGTGCTCAGGAGGAGCAGGGGCAGGACGGGGCCCGCTGGCTCTGGGGTCACACCTGATGGTGACTTGGGAACCCAGAAGCTCTGCTGCCATCTCCAGCCCAGCCCAGTAGGACCTCCCCTGCCCCACGTGCCAGGGGGAGCATTTGGCCCCTGGGGCAGGCTCATGGGGGTGTCTTCCCACGTCTGTCCCTTCCTGAGGTCCTGCCCACCTCCCTCCGTTGCCTTGCTGCCTCCGTTACCCAGAGCCTGTCCCAGGCCCTGTACACCTGATGGCCAACTGGTATCATGTAGGGCACGTTGGGAGCCAGATGTAGGGCTGAGTGCCCCACAGGGTCGTGGGGTGAGCCTTATGCTGTGCTGAGGCGCAGGATCCGAGAAATAAAGAGACAGGACACAGAAGTACAAAGAAAACGCAGCTGGGCTTGGGGGGCCACGCCACTATGAGCGGAGTCAGGCAAGGCTGGCGAGGCCAGGATGGCGAGGGTGGCGAGCCCCAAATGTCCAGAAGTGTGAGTATTTATTGTGTATAGGTTAGGGGGCAGGGCAGTGAGTGAAATCATCTTTGAGGATAGTGATAGGGTTGTGAGCAATAAAACATAGGGTCCACTCCCATTAGGTCACCTAGGCCAGGAGGTGGACAGCGCGCAGCAAGGGGCCTGTTCCCACGAAGGCAAGGGCCGTGTGCAGTAAGGGGTCCACCCCATTAGGTCACCGAGGCTCAAAGGTGGGCCGTGCACAGCGAAGAGGGTGCAGTGTGCGATACTTCTATCTATGGGAAAACTGCTTCTAAGAAGATTTATAGGAGGATGCCTTAAGTCACACAGCAGTGACAGAGCTGTCAAGGTTACTGCCACCTTCTGGCAGCTTCCAATGGGTTCTATGGGAAGATGCTTTTCAAGCAGCACAGTAGCAAGAGCTGATGAAGTTCACAGTCACCAAGGTGGACTGCCGTTCTGAGGGCACCTTCCACAAGAACTGGAGCAAGGTCCTACAACTCCTTTATCAGGAGGAGTGGCCCTCGCCCCAAGCCTGCCATACAGCGGGTATCTTTACGATACTGAGCGCTGCCGCCTGGGCCATGGATTCTTGTCCTGGTATAACTGTTTTCCCTTAATTCATGCTCTGCACTGCGTCTGCTCCAGACATTCCTCCGATTATAAGCTGCTTATCCCTTAATTCATGCTCTGTACTGTGTCCACACTAGGCATTCCTCCGAGTATGAACTAAGATATAATTATAGGTATATATGTAGGGAAATATTCTTTAGGCACTCATACTATCAACTATTAATGATTATATAGAGAGGATTATATAAAGGGATTCTTCATGCCCTATTTCTATAAACTAATATATGATTATGTAAAGGATTATATAAAAGGAAATAGCTGAGTAGTAACACTGTAAAGTGAGATATTCCTCAGGCCCTAACTGTGCCAGGGCTCTGCTTAGCTCTCAGTCCTCGGTGCCTATATGGGGGGTTACCCACAGTGTCATCTCCTCATTCCTGCCCCACCCTGCCTCACTGCCCCTTCCAGAACCTTCCTGCCAAGTCACATTTACATCAACAACTAGCCCACGCCAACCCCCCATCTGAGCCACCTGGCTCCCACCGGGAGCGACGGTCACTTCTCACGGTCAGTGTAGTCTCCGGGGTCTTCTCCCAGGTAGAATTCCTTTGTGCACTTTCCGTGTTTTCTAAAACGAGAGCAGCCTTCCTCGTGAGGCATGCCTGCTAGAGCCGGCGCTGTTCTGAGGCTCGTGACTAGGTCTCCCGTCTTGGGGTGGCCCAGGAGGAGCTGCGGGCTGCCATCCCACCTTCCAGGGGAGCAGCTCAGACGGGCGGCCCTGAGCCCTGTTGTCAAGGCCTTCCTGGGGGGTTCTGGGCTTGGGGAGCCATAGGCAGTGGGGAAGCCCAGGGGAAGTGCTTGGCTGCAGGGATTCCGCCCTGGGCTCTCCAAGGGGAGGAGGGCGTGGGCAGGTGAAGACCTGGGAATGGGCTGGGCGGCCAGCAGAGCCCTCTCCTGTGCAGGAGTCAGAGACCTTCAGCCTGCCGTTTTCCAGGATGTCTGATATGAAACAGACACGGGGGCACCTCCGTCCTCAGTGACAGTCCTGGTGACACAGGCTTCATGGATTGTCATGGTCCCTCTACCTGGAGACAGCAGGTCCCGCTGTCCAGCCTGTGCCAGCCTTCAGAGCCTCTCCTCCCTGCGTCCTGGGCTGCAGCAGGGATGGGGTTGGCCATGCACGGGAAGGGTGTGTACTTTCTCTCATGCCAGGTTCCAGGCCCGGGCCTTGGGGGCTGCTGACTCCCAACCCCCTCCCCAGCGGGGCTGGCCAGCTTGGTGTGGTCCCTTGGCCACGGGCGATGCTGAGCGGGTGGTGGGGGCTTCCTGCATCTTCTCTCACCCTGGGGCCCTCCGGTCTGTGGCTGTGGGAACACGGGGGGCAGGCCTGGCTGAGGGCCTCAGGCTCTGAGTGCTGCTGGGACCCTCAGCTGGTGTGGAGGTCTCAGGTGGTAGACGTAGCTGACCCCTGTCAGCATGAGGGGCCTCCTGCAGGCCTGGTCCCAGTGGAGGAGGAAGACACCCGACATGTCCTCCTGGCCTGTGCTGCCTGTGGGGTGGGGGCAGAGCCAGTCCCTGGAGCCCCACTGCTCTGCTGTGGGCTGTTCCTGCCCACCTCATCTGCCACCTTCCAGGCCAACTGGGAGCTGTTCCACGAGGACCCTGCAGGCTGCCACCCCAGCTGCAGAATGGCAGCTTCCTAACGGCCGGAAGAGAACACATGTTCGTTGAAAAGAAACAGCAGCCGGGCGCGGCGGCTCACGCCGGGAGCCCCAGCACTTCGGGAGGCTGAGGCGGACAGATCACTTGAGGTCAGGAGTTCAAGACCAGTCTGGCCAACATGGTAAAACC